CAGTGAGGGGCCCAGGAGGAATTAGGTGACAGTGTGGGAAGGCTGAGTCATCTCCTGCTCCCTGTATAGTGATGAAATGCCTCCCTCCACCTCTGGCTCCTCTTCCCCACAGCTCTGAGCGCACACAAGTTTTATATCTCCCCTTGAATTCCCAGAGGAATTCCTCATTCCTTCCCTCAGCCAGTATCTCTCATTAGATGTGACATGCAGAGCTCGGAGGGTCACTGTCCCCGCACTGAACGTGCTCTGCCACCTCCCACACACCTCCAGGAGAAAGAGCTTGTCCAGAGTTTAATGTGACACTGCAGCCTTAGGGGAAAAGCAAAAAGAAAAAACGTGGAGAAAATCCAAAAATTCCTCCTGGCTGCCAGGCCTGCGTTACAATCAACAAATCACCTCGGCTGTTTCACCTCAGGGTAAAACTTGGAAAGCTCAGTTCCTTTCTATGAATCACCCTCAGCAAACAGCCTCAATTAAGAGATAAAACATTGCTACCACAACAGCAGCTCGGGCAGGGATTTATTTTTAGAAGCTGCTTAAAATAGTGCGTGGTACCTCAATGAAAACCATCCCCTGTGTGCTGGTACGGGCTGATGTCAGAGCAGTGAGACACCCCTGAGGGACGCACACTTAACACCCTGCCCAGGCCTCCTGCACAGCACCAAGCTGAGAGAAAACACTGAAAAAAACAGGCAAGGAAACCCAAAACTGGTCTTAACACCTCCCTGTGAGTGTAGTAAGATGCCAGGAGAGAGGGGTGTAAAGGGATGAGTCAAAGCAGATTTTGGAAGTGACAACATTTCCTACTAAAATGTGAGCAGAAAAGGCTCTTTGTGACTTCAGGGAAGGGTTTTGGGTTCTGAGAGCCAACCCTAGGGCTGAAACAGGATCTGGTGCAAAGTCTGGATTTGAGAGGCCACTGCCAAGAAGATGCCACCGTCCCCATGGGACCAGCAAGGATCTGGGGACAACTTCTGATCTGGCACTGCAGCACAACCTCTGCACCTGGGGAGTGGTGGCAAAGTGAAGTCACAAGATCTCAGAATGTTCTGAACTGGAAGGACCCCAAGGATCACCCAGTCCCACCCCAAACCCTGCCCAGACCCCCCAACAACCCCACCCTGGCCATCCCTGCAGCGCTGCCCAAATTTCTCCCCCATCCTTCATCTCCCCCATCCCTCACTCTCACACAA